CCATGCGTCAGAATCAATCAATAACAGTGAGTTGTTTTAAGGGGCTAGGGAAGGCGAGGAGGAAGGAAGATAGGACACTAAAACTCAGACTCAAAACATTCAGTGCCAAAGAGCTGACTTTAACTCAAGGACACCCTGGATCAGGCAGCATAAAACTGTCTTTCTGAGCTTTGAGACTGTAACTCTTTACAGGAGTTACAAAGCTTCATTTTTCTCCTACAAAACAGCTGATGATTTTGAACTGTTGACCTTAGGGTTTGCAGCCGGATGGGTAGCCTACTGGGTTCACCCTAAAAGGGTACCGGGAATGAAAATGTTCATGAAATTGACTATAGTGATAGTTGCACCTACCTGTGAATATAAGTAAATACAACAAACAAACCAACAACCAAACAAATCATATACTCGAAATGGGCAAATTGTATGGTGAGGGATGATCTATTAATCACTTAAGGGGCTTAAGAAATAGAAGAGTAGGTCTGAAAGATCTAGAAGCAGAATGTTTAAACCGAAGGCAAAAGATGTGCAAAGGGCCTGAGGTAGGAACAGCCATGGGTTCTGGAGGAAGAGGCTGCTGGAGTGGCCTGAGCAGAGGGAGATAGGAGGAGGGGGCGGTCAAAAGGGAGGGACCAAGTCTGCCTGGGGTGAGGGTGGGGATGGGTGGACTGGGGTGGGGGGCAATGGGGAACCGCGAGAGGGTTTGGAGCCAGAGAGAAGCAGGCTATGCGTCACGGTTTTAAGAAGCTTTCTTGGAGCAGCATGGGGCAGCAAGGTCAGTCGCGGCTGGTATGAAGGCAGTGGGGAGGTAGCCGATTCCGGGGTTTGGGGAAGCAGTGGGTGAGTGAGTGAGTGCGAGCCTGCGTGCACAGGGTTCGGACAGGGATCGATCCCAGACCTACAACATCTCGGGCTTCCAGTCTCCTTCCCCTAGCTCATCCACCCCACGTGGCCGCTTTGGAACCACAGGGGGGCGGCTGGGGGCGGTGGCTAGTCACCCACCACAGATATCCCACACATCTCTAGCTCAGCAGGGTCGGGGCAGCGGCTAGAGGGAGAAGCCGACTCCGCCCAAGGAGAGGCTGGTCACTCCCCTGCACTCTCCGGCCTCTGCGGGTGCCAGCGCTCGGCCTGGAGCGCCTTCCGCCGGCTCTCATCTGGCCCACTCCGGAACCCCAATGGTATTTCCACTCCTCCTCCTGCCCCTCCCTCGGTTTCTTCTTCCTCCCCCTCCCCACCTTCCCTGGGCCTTCTGCCTCTGACTATTGGATCCGCAACCCTTGAGATAAAAGAATGCTTCCAGCCAACAGTCAGAATCCGGTCCCGGGTAGATCCGGCCCATCCCCCTTTCCC